GATAAAGGCTTTTAAGTTACTGTTTTTATGCTACTTTTAGGGCAGACTAATCATTTTAGTGGTGGCAGAATCTCGATCCTAGCACGTTATAGGTGGAGCTTCACCCTGTAAAAATATTCTGAACCTGAGGTTTTAAGCTTGATTCTTCAATTTTAGACTCATAAACATACTTTAAATCACTAATTTGGTATTGCAGCAATGTCATATGAGAAAACAAATCATTTTAGAATCATTTTTTACTAAGTTCTCTTGAATCCAGAAGTAATGAATAATAATGATTCCTAGACATGCATGTACATATGATAAAAAATCAAATTAATATAAAAAGTTAATCGCTTCTTCATCAATGTCTGCTTTAAATTAGTGATACACCAGGAACGCTATTGTCTTATGTATACCTAAAATCAGTAAAACTGATATTTATTTATAGCATTTTGAATATCCCTGGTAACAAGAACAAAAACAGGAGAACGGCAAGCGTTCGTAGTGTTGGATATTCAAAATTATTTGCACTAACCAAAGAAGATTTATGGGAGGCGCTAACCGAATATCCGGAAGCAAGAAAGTGTCTGCTGGAAAAAGGCAAAGAATTACTACGAAAAGATCATCTTCTGGACGACGATGCCGAAACATGTACTGCAGCGTTTTCCCCGTCCATACAAGAGAAACTTCAGTATATTTCGAAAGAAGCATCTGCCCTACAGTCAACGCTTGACAACTACCTTTCAGAGCTACGGGAGGAAAACCAGGAAGCTGCAAAAAGAATATTCGAATTAGAGAAAGTTTTAGAAAGTGAAATCGTCTTCTGAATATTTGAAATTGCAACGAGGTGCTTCCAGTCAAAGTCAGTAGCGGGCTTTCAGCTGAAATTTCCATTTTCTTCTACTTTGCATGAACTTGACATTACATCGGTTGATTGACAAATCGAACGCGAAGAGCAAGGGAAACGGACGAGTCGGCGTCGCTTAAACTTTTCAGCCAATATTGACTTATCATATGCGTGTGAACACCAACAGTCTACCTCTTAATACTTTATGTTGTAAAAACCCTCACGAATTTGAATACTTTTAAAGCGATTTCAACTTATCATGGTTTCTTGTAAAGTTGCAGTTTTGCTTTCATGTACCTTCCATTCAAATTTGAAATCGCAATTTTACTGGAAAATTAGGCAATTTTTGAATGTCAAAATTAGCCGTCTAATTTCACTAATGTGGGCGCGGCTCATTTTTGTTTTTTGTGGCCAAATATCACTGAAAATTTATCTTATTTTGTTTCAGTATAAAATAAATTGACGTAATTAAGCAGCAATTACACGGTTTATTTTTATACAACGCCGAAAGGTTGGTATAATGGATTATGACTAGTACCGACGTCTTGCTTTGTGCTTCAAGGGCTTTCTGTAAGGCAGAGAGCCGAGTAAGCTTCTGAAGCCTTTCTTGTCGTCTGCAACAGGTTGTAAATTTGGAGCCAGAAGAAAGATTTTTGCTCTGAGCTGCCTGCGAAATAGTTTTCTGGTGACAGGGGCAGGACTCGTCCAATCTGCGCAGAATTTGTCTTTTATCATGGTTGAAGTGTTTGCAGACTGGATGATAAATGCTTCCTTAGCGCAACTGTTCAACCAGTATCTTCCTTTGATAATGCTAGCACACTCTGACCATCAGGGAGTGTGTCCTTCCTGTGCCGCGTGCGAACCCACAGGTCATTTCGCATTATTATTTGACTTGGTTACCGGGGGGATCTGTTTTTTACCGCGTGCTTTGCTACAAAACATTAATCTGTTACCTCCAGTCCAGTGGGACAACTAAGAACTGTTTAGCAGCTTAACCTACGACGTAACTTAGCTTAATTATTTACAACTCTCATGGAGAATGTCATTCATCGCCTAACCCTTGGCATTAAATACTGACCTCCTGATCTCAGATCATTCTTCATTTTCACTGAACCTGGTGGCATGATTTTTCAGAATTGAACATATAACTTTCGATATCTACAAACTATATGACAACGAATAAAATCAACAAATTTCAGTTCATTTAGGAAGGAGCAAAATATTGCATGTTTTTCTGCATACTGAAAAGGACACGTATTCAATTCAATTTAGAAGACCGCTTTTCCCTTCTGGTCACAGAGACAGACGCGTGAGACAGTGCTACCTACTTTCCCGAGATCTTGTTCCAGTGCTTGAACTTCAGCAGAAGAGACCTGGAGTCTACAGCAAAATCCTTCAATGCCCTTGCCCGCGGTAAATCTTGGCTGTTCTTGAGGTCTTCTATCAGTCGGTCTTTCTGCAGGCATTCGCAACCTGTGCCCAAACCATGGTAGATGTGAGTTCTCAATCTGAAAAAGCCGCGCCCTGTACGCCAAGGCCTTTTCGGACATCTGTATTCCGGATCATGTGGAGAAGCGTGCGGCCAACGATTCGACGCAGAAAGTTCCTTTCAGCCGCTTGTACCCGGGATCGATGTTTTTCAGTCATAGTTCACGACTCATGACCGTATGAAAGCATGGGGTTTAAGACTGACTTGAACACCGAAAGCTGAAACATCAGTCTCACCTCTGCTTTAGTCACAACGGTTCGAGCTACTTCACGCAGAGCACCAATGGCTGTTTCAACCCGTAGGTCGTTCTATTCTACAAATTTTCCGTCACCGGTAAACAAAACCCCAAGAAACGGTAATTTCTTCACTTCACTGCATCTCTGTTTAGTTGCAGAGCGGAACGAGCAGTAGAAGGAGAAAATGCAAGAATTTTTGCTTTGGACATATTCACACACATTCGGATGACGTTGCACTCGGATGCAAATCTTTTCATACAACAATGAAGATCAGTTTCAGAAGATGCATACAAAACAAGGTCATCTGCAATTAGCAACCTTCTCGTCTCCACATCTCCTGCATCGATAAACTCATAGCCCTGACTGCGTCTAACTGTTCTCTCCATGAACAGATGAGGAGAGAGAACACAGCCTTGGCTGAGGCAAGAGTCAGTGCTTGAAGGTCTGGACTTATCGACATTTGCTCTAACGAATCACCTCATTTCGGGATACTGTGATTGGATGGCTCGTAAGAACTGGTCTTCGAACGCATATATTTACAATCAGG